CCATGTGTTTCATTGCAGAGCCTGGCATGTGCACATAAGAGTCCAACCCCTCCCCTTTTACACCTTCACTTCTAGTTTGAAACATTTCCTTGGATATTCTTCAGCTTTTCCTCATCTCTGTCAACTCTCCCTGGTAGCAAAAATATTTCTGAGCAGGTCAGTGACGGAATGACATGACTCCATACAGAGCATGTCTGTGTATGTGTGTGTGTATATAAATATATTTATATAAATAGTTGCAGATGTGGATAAATGTATGTAAATTTGGCAATGCATAGAATAATTCTGCCCCAATTACAAACAGTTTTAACCTGGGAACAGGCAGAGGGAGCACAGAGCAGGCCCTGCCATGCAGCAGGAGTGTGGAAGGATATACGGACACCCAGCTAACGAGAAGGGAAGGGAAGTGGCTGGAGGCTGAAGGGATGTAATGGGTCCCCAATGTGGCACGCACATATGCTGCCACACAGCAAATGCAAAGTGCCACCACCAGTGACAAGTGGATTGCACCTAAGGAAAACATCTGTGCCCACTGCCCAAACCCAGGCAGCCTCCCGACCCCGCGTGCCCTGCTCTGATGTGGATTAAACTGGTCAGGTCTGGGAGCCTCTCTGAGCGTGCCTTGCGCTGCAATAATGGCTCAGTAAATCTCTGAGTACCTCTTGCACGGCTGCCTCTTTTGCATTTGCAATCTTGCATTTGTGGGATTGTTTTATTTTGTTTTATCTTAATTTATTCTGCTGCGCTCAGTGTGGCGGGAGCGCTTTGATTATCTGTGTAGATCATTGCATGGTTTAGTGCAGTTCTGTGTTACAAACCCTCCCACATAACCCTGCTGTTTGTTCATAATTTTTCTATTTTGAAGAAACATCCTTTGACACCTGAGCTGGATCTGCTTTTCTTAAGCATAAATATAATTGTCCCTGGTGAAGAGCATCTCCCTGACTGGTCCCATCCCCTCTGTATATATTTGAATATATAAAATATTAATAAATGATGCCAAATGTTTAATCATATCCGTTTGACTCTACGAGGCTCGGTATATGTAGGCTTTCCTTTTAACTGCCTCTGTGATATCTACATACTGCTGATTTGTTGTTGAGCTGGAGTTTTAAAAGCAAAATAAAACTGAGGTTTGCAGTTTGATTTGAATTAATCAGGTCTGATTAGACAGGAACACATCAGACTGTTCTGGAAATCCCTGAATCTCTCTAATTCAATTTCATGTGTTATTCAAAAAGAAATAGTTCATAGCTTAAGCAAAAGTGCTATTTATTTAACACTGTTTTTTTCAGAGTGCTAAATCTTATGGAGGGGGGCATCGTGACGATGTTCAGGGTGTAGGAAAGAAAGCATTTTGTTTTATGAAAATACAGATATTTTAGAATGGAGTCACCTGCTGGTAGATCTCATAAATGTACATAAAAGGATGCTCCCTAATATTATTAGTTTGGTTTTTTTCTTCCCATCACCCTGGCTGTCCATCTAGGAAGCTTTGATAGCAGGAGCCACAAAACCAGAAGACTGTATTTAGTTTAATAAGCCAATTTAAAGAGAAAGGTTGGAATTATGTATGGCAGAGGACAATTATGCAAACTAAATGATTCTTCAATTAATAATGAGATCCATGAAAGGCAAAGGAGACAGGATGCTCCTGTGAGAAGGAGAAGGCTCCTGGTCCCCACCACGGCGTGGAGGGACGGGAGAAGGGCAGGGGCAGCTCCCAGACAGACGTGGAGGGACTCTGCTGGTGGCATCTGTCCGGCGGAGCCTCCAGGGGAAGTTGGGCATTCCTGGCAGCTTTCCCTGGGATGCTCTCCCTCTCCCGGAGCTCTGCGGCAGGGTGAGCCCCTCTCCGGCCCCACACTGAGGACGGGGAGGTCACAACCCCAACCACCCTTCCCTTCCTGCCCTCGGGACAGACACAGCCCCCGCTCCGGAGCCGCCAGTTCGGCCTTCTCCAAGGAGCTCCGGTCCCTTTTCCGTGCCTGGCCGAGTCCGGAGTTAGGGACGGTGAAGAGCCAACAGTTGGCAGCCTAAAGCAGCGGCAGGAGCGCCGGGAGAAGGGGAAGCAGCGATTATAGGGAGTGATTGTTCGGGAGGGCAAGAGTGGGAGGTGCTCTAAGTGACAGGGATTCACTACGGGACGCAAATCACTTAAGGCAAAGCCATTAGGATCAATTTAAAATACCAAAGAGGGAGGCTAAAGTGACAATAGCATATTTTAATTGAAATCACAAATATCATTCGGGCTTAAAAGACTAGGCACAGTTGCTCTATCTGAACACAGGAAAAACTTTTCCTTTTTTAATAAAAAAACCCAAAGCAAAGATCAAAATGGAACTAAGAACTTTTTTTCATAAAGTTCTTAAATCCTACCTATATATATATATTTCTAACGTTCTATTTTCTCTTGACTTGATGGTCATATTATAAATGAAATTAACTACATTACTAATGCTTTAAATTTGATTTTAATAGAGCCTAGGGCTGAAGCATGGAATCAGCACATTAAAAGAAAAACACAGTTACAGGGACAATAAATAGCATGTCCAGATAAACACTTTTATCTGTGTGTTAGTTTCCTTATTGAGCTGAGTAGCCCGTGTGCAGAGACTGGGGTTTTTGCAGACATTTTTCCAGAGCTGAAGTCCACATGATGAGATTGTTACTGGTTTTGGCAGCAGCAATGTGAGCTTGGTAAAAGAGCCTGGCATGGGAATCCACCGAGTCCTGACATATCCCATTTGCCCCAAACTCTTTGATTTCTGCTCACAGAATCTGACATGTGTTGGGCATTGACCTTGCTCTTTTAAATAAGCTTATTTTAGAAGACCTCTGCAGAACGCTGTGTGTTTGGCCTCGATGTAAGCTGTTAGGGAAATGTAGTACAAACACAGAAGTTGTATGTTTTGAATGCCAGAGATGTTAAGCAGCAGAGCAGTTGGTAAAAGCTGTACTTCTGACTGCTTTCTGTGCTCTCAACACGTGTCCTGAAAGAAAAGAAAAATTATTTATCTTGCTTTCGTGTGAAGGTTGTTATTAATTTATTTTTAGCAGGAAGTTCAGGACCAGACTGCTTTTTCAGTCCTACATATTCCAACTTGGGCTCTCAGACACTCAGTGGAGCAAAAGCAGCTTTTGAAAAAGTGACTCTTGGGGATGTCCTGGCTCAGTGTCTCAGTGTCCTGTAGAATCACCCCTGGAAATGTCTCTGCAGAGAGGTGCTCAGGTACAGGAGGGACTTTTCCTTCTGGAGCAGCACCCTCACCCTGCATTTCAGAAAGGGCTGTAACCTTCAGTGGAGATCTGGTTTCCATTCATTACAGGGGAGCAGCTGGGGTGGAAGTTCAGCCCAAGGGCTGCAATCTTGCCAATGCAAGGAAACAAATCACTGGGCCCCAACATGGCAACACACAAGGGAGAGGAATTGGAAGTGCCTTTAAGAAACAGGTACAAAAAACGTCCCTCATTCAGCCTCTCTCTGCTCAAGCCACTGGAAAGCTACCAACCCCAAAAACAGCAAAAGCAGAAGAAGACATGGAAACACCTGGAATGTTGATATGATGCCCACACTCCTGCACCTTTGCCTTGGGCTTTGAGCTTGGGAGCCTGGAAATTCAGTTAGCTGGACAATATGTTCCCAGAAAGGGTTGCTGAGTCTCACCACACCTGAGGAAGTGGCAGTAATATTCTACAAAAAGGAAAGCAGGTATCCAGTCACCAAAATAAATGTAAATTTCAATTTGTGACCACGTGCAGCTCTTCAGGACAAACCCTGGCTCGGTGTGGAGCAAGGAAAGGCAGCTGAGCAGTGCCAGGACATTGATATCCTGTTCCATGGCTCTGAGCACTCAGCTGAGCTGGCTTCCCAAGCCCCCAGGATGGCCATGGAGTCCCCACCCCTGGCACTGGGTGAAAGGCTGTGAGTGTTTCAGGGAGCATTTCCTTGGCTAAAGGACTCTGGAGTGGATTTCCCCCTCTCTGCAAAGCCTCCTCCCTGATTCAGCAGCGGCACAGGAAAGCCCTCCTGGTCCATGAATAATTCATCTCCAGCGTGTGCAGGGGTTCAGAGCCTGACCCAGACAGTTTTTTAGGGAAATAAGTGAGCATCCTGCCATCAGTGCCAGTGCTGGTGGCTGCTCCATGGAGGATGGGCTGGAGCGGTGCCATCAGTCAGAAGGAGGGATGGCAGAGCTGCTGCCCCTCCTGCAAAGGGAAAATTCCCTGAAATTCCCTTCACCAGCACTCACAGGCTCATTTTGCCAGGGAAGTGGCTTTTATTTGTTGTGAGTTCTTCATACAGAACAAAACCTAAATAATGTAACATATTCTGGGCTCTGGGCAGATAAAAATTGAAAGGGCCGGGGTGTTTGTGCGAGTGGAATGATAGTGACGAGCACCACATGGGGTCCCCAAGGATGCTGTCGGGGGACTCGATCCCCATAAAATGATGAAAGACTCTGGTGTAATGGTGCTCTGTGAAACAATTTGAACATAAATGCTACTTTCTGTCCCATTAGCAAATGACTGCCATTGTACCAGGATTTTTTTATTTTTGGTATGTGTTTTGAACACACTGAGACCAAAAACTTGCATTGTGATAGTGCTGCCGGAAGATTTAAAGGTTGTGGTGGACTAAAAATTGAAATGCAAATCACACTTTCCCACAACCTCCTGCTGAGGCCCAAATTTTTATAGATCAGGTCATGCAGTCCTGATGAAGAATCAGTGCTCTGCCTTTCCTGGGATTCACAAATTAGTTGCAGTCCAAGGTGTCATTTCCTTACAACAGAACTGTAACTCACCAAGTGAAAGTTTGTCACTGAAGACAGTCTCCTGCTCTTACATTAATTTTTCCAGCTACAGTGCCACTAAGGATCCTTTCCCAGACAATGCAAACACACACATCACAGCTCCCCACTCTGCAACATGCTCTCACTGAATATAAACACACTGTATATATTGATCCTCTCCCTCTTGCTTTTTTTCTTTCCCAGTGTGCAGGTGGTAAAACACTGACTGCCATGAACTTCATCAGGAGAAAAAAAAAAAAGAAAAAAAAAAAAAAGAGGAAAAAGCTGTGGTTTGGAAGCAGCTGGATGGCAAACTGCAGGCTGGGAATGTGGCTGCCAAAACCACCACAAGGAGAGTAGGGCATAGAGGCATTTGTGGAGCATTCTGTTTGCTAATTGCTCATGGAATTTCAGGTAAGGAACATCAAATATGATTTGTTATAATAGGGAGTGGCCTGGGTTTTGCTTTCCAGGGTGTCTTTTTTTCATCATTATTATTTGTATTTTTATTGCTATCATTACAAGTGCCCAGCTCTCTCTGGCTGGGAGCACAGTTCACAGAGGGGCTGTGGGGCAGCACAGGGCATTTTTAGCTGTGCACATGCCAGGAAGTACCAGCACAGATCTCCAGGCCCTGCTGTGTCCCAGGGCAGGATCTTTCCTGGCTATGAGAGGACAGATCCCTCTCAATGCTTCACCTCTCCAAACACAGGAATCTGCTGGGGGTTCCCAAGTCCTGTTTGTGGGCTCAGTCAGTGACAGTTTTGAGCTGGTTCTCTGTGCCCTGAACCGCTGAGGATTCCCAGGAACCTTTTGGTCACTCCTTTCCCTTCCAGCTATTTAGAGGTTCCTTCTACACAAAAATGTGCTGGAAATTACCACCAGCAGTGCATCTCTGGTTTGCATCTGGTTGCCATCCTGCAACTTTAACCAGTGCTACAACTTACTGCTAATTAGCTCCCAGCTAATGGTGATCCCTGCCAGTGCTGCAGCACTCTGGAGTCCGTGGGCATTAACAAGAATTAGCATTTGTTGAGGGCCGTGGTGGGAGCTGCCTGTCTGCAGCATTTCAGGGGTCCCTGTTGCTGGAATGTTTGATTGCCTCCTCCAGTAATTAGCACTGACACTGAGCAAGTTTTTCAGAGGTCTTACTTGGCTGTGCAGAGACCAAAGACACACTAGGCTCTGTCTCTGGTGAGCAGAGGCCAATAATAATGTATTTTCCAATAATAATGTATTCCCCAATAATGATGCATCCCCAATAATAATGTATTCCCCAATAATGATGCATCCCCAATAATAATGTAATCCCCAATAATAATGCATTCCCCAATAATAATGCATTCCCCAATAATGATGTATCCCCAATAATGATGTATCCCCAATAATAATGCATTCCCCAATAATGATGTATCCCCAATAATAATGAATTCTCCAATAATAATGCATTCCCCAATAATGATGTATCCCCAATAATAATGTATTTCCCTGCTTCTCTCCCCTCCCCTGGCACAGGTAACAGAGTGCCAAGGAATGGAGTCAGTGGCTGTGCTACTGCACATTTCCCTGCTTTGTTGTCCTGCATGAAATGCTCTCTCACAACTTTTTTAATGTGTAGAGAACAATTTAACCATTTTAACTTTAAGTCAATTGCCTCCTTGGTTTGGGAATACGATGGTAGTTAAAATGCTTCAGGAATCTGACACACCAGCAGTGAGTAACTCTGGTGGGCCCTTCCATGCCTGTTTAAACAAGGGTGCATAATCAGAATTAAAGCACAGGGAACACAGAGAAATACAGGCCCCTTGTAGCCCTTGTGGGGTGCATGAGCACGTGGCTGGTGCTTCTTCAGGAACACCCAGTGCCTGTTTGGAAGCAGAGGTTGGGGGAATGTCGCCGTCCCGGTCCCTTTCCCCAACGCGCTCTGCAGGGAGAGGCACGTGCGGCTCATCTCGCCCAGCCTGGCTGCAAAAGGAGATTTTTCCATGTGCTACTGTGCAGAGGAAGCTGCTCTCACCCTCACCCTGAGGAAGATGAGCTCTAGGAATATGCAAGGGGCTTTTTTTACAGCTCGGGGCCCAGGAGGGGAAGCAGTGGTCATGAGCAGAGGCTGGAACTTGGCTTGTTAAGTAAATCTCAGGCTGTAGCTGGTTTTAATTTATTTTTTGTTTTATGTGCAGGAGACTGGGCCTTGCAGGCCTGGCTAATATCAAAGCCTGGGGTTTTGTAGATTTTTAATCAAGGTCCACTTTGGGGGGTTCTGCTTTCGGGGCTTGCGGACGTGTAGGATTTTTTTGTCATGTTTTTCATTTTTTCTTGCTGCAGTGTCTGGATTTCTTTAGTTCAACTTTTCCATTCTTCAGACTTGAGCCAAGTGAGCGATTTCAAATTACCCAGCACTTTCCAGAGATGTTTTTTTTGGTTGTTGTTTGGGGTTTTTTGGTTTGGGATATTTCTTTTTTTTTCTGAAGCAGACTTGCAGTCCAGTTTCTCTGAAAATCACAGATGGCATTGCAATCCTACCCCATTGCCTCTCAATAATTTGGCATTCTTTGCACTGTCTGAATAGTTTATTGTTCATCAAATCTGTATGAAAGGAATTTTATATAAATTTTTGTTTGTTTCGTCCCTCTGCTGGCAGGAAAAGTAAATCCCAAAGTATTTCAGCAGGTGCTATTAATATGCAAATAATGGAGAGTACACTGGGTCTAATAGACCTCCCAACTACATGGGAGGTGTCGCTGTTGGAGCAAATTAGCTTTCTGTAATTTGCATGCTTTTCACAGCCTCCTGGGATTATATTTTAGATCAGAGACAATAAAAGCATATGCTGTTAGTTTTAAATGTAACTAATTTTAGACTTTGAAACCATTTTAACCTAACTTCTCAGTGTTAAACTGTTATTTGCACAGAAACTTTCCACAGAGCTTGTAATTTGCACAGCCTTTCTGTTCCCCCATCAACTGCTCCATCTCTCTTTCCAGATTGAAAGAGAAGAAAGGAATCTACCAGGTGGCTGCATCTTGAAAAACAGGTATTTCTCACAAAATCTAGATTGTCCTAGCCTGGTTCTGGGCCTGCATTCAGATCCTGATGGGGTCGAGATTGAGCTTTTTATGTCAAACTTCTTCCCTCCCATTTGGCATCTCCGTATGGTGTAAATCCATCCCAGAAGGATGCTGTGGCCCCTGCTGGCTGCTCATGGAGGGAAGAGGCTGCTCCTACCATCAGCAAATCTTCTTTGCTCACCCAGCAAAGCAGAGTCCTGGGCTGCTGTGGCACTAATGCCCAGTGTGGCTGTGCCTGCTGAGAGTCTGTTGGGAAACTCTGTTTGAACAAATGGGAAGAAAAGCAGGGATTTCACAGCAGGCTCAGTCTGTAGAGTCACACATTACTGACTTGTACTGGCACATTATCAATGGCACTTCCCAATTGGTATTGACAGCAGAAATGCCACTGTTGATGCCTGTGCTTTGGGACAAGGGGGATGATGGGGCCTGTGGAGCTGTGTCTGTGTTCCAGGTGCTGCCATGGCTGCTTTGTGCTGGACTGGCCAGGTGGTGACACAGGGCAGCCACTGCAGCCCTGCCCCTGATCCCCATCCTCCCCTGTGCAGCTGGCAGAACCCAGTTTCTGCTGCATGGAAGGAGGGCAGTGAGAGGAGCTGCAGACAGAGCTGTCAGTCTGGGGAAGGTGCAGAGGCAGCCCCTGTGCTTCGTCCCAGTGCCCAAGGGTGAGATTTGGGAGCTCCCTGTGCACAGCTGTTCCATTGCCCGTCTGTGCAGGGTGTCCACATCACTGGGGCTTGTGGGGTGGTGGCCATCCTTTACTCCAGGGGGCACAGAGCTCAGGGGTAGGATCAGATGTGTGGAGGAGATGGCAGCCAGGTGGATCAAGTTAATGTTATCAAATTTATTTCTGCCGTGGGAAAGGTGGGTGTGGCATGAGAGGGTGAGTCTGAGAGGGTCCTTTGAGACAAAAACCTCTTGGGATGCAGCTTTGGCCCTGCAGCAATGTGTGGTGAGACTCTTCTGAATTTTTGGGGCCACAACTTTGCCATCAATGTTTTATAGGTGTTTCACACAGATAATGTAGGGAAACAGTCTGTTTCCTAAGGAGTGCTCTTAAAGCTGGAAATACTGGGTGCAGATTTTTTCTCACATCTCACCCTAAATGTTTTCTAGCATTAATACCAGTGACCTCCCACTTCTGCTGCTTTTTATTAATGGGATGTGGATTGCCTGTTATAAGCCTGGGCACTGGAGTTGGAAGCACTTGCTTTATTTAAAAATGAAAACAAAAAGGAAGAAAAAAGGGCTCTGATTACTCAGGTGTCGGCAGAAAAAAACTGTGATGTTGTGCCAGATGGCTGCATTTGTGAAGCAGAGTGTAGTCAGAAGGAAAGTGGAAGGAGACAAGGCAAGTGTACATCAGGAGTGTGAAAACATGACCAAAATACCTTCAGCCTTGTTTCACCAACACTGGATTAGGAGGCAACTGTGGTGAGATGCAAGCAAAGAAAAGCAGAAGGGGACACTGTTTGGAAAACAAAAATGTCTTTCACAAAAGCTTTGAATTAACAGAAATCAGGAGGTTTTGCCTTAAACGGGCCAGTGCCTCGGAGCAGTGTGCCCAGTGCCACCCGTGGCAGAGCGGCAGGGATGGCAGCAGGGTGTGTCGGGCCCAGGGAGCACTGGAGCAGGAGGTGCTGCTGCCGGCCCTGCCCAGTGCCCGCCGTGCCCCGGGGATGCAGCGCTGCCCAGAGCCCGGGAAGGGTTTCCCAGGGATGGGGGGCTGTGCCAGCTCCTCCCTCTGCCCGTGCCCACAGGTGGCACCCGGGAGCCCTCGGGGCAGGGCTCTGGGTTATGTGCACCCCTCAGTGGGCACTTGTGACACCAGCCCTGCTGGTCTGTGCCTCAGGCTGTTTGGACTCGTTCCCCACCTCCTGCAGGAGCTTCACTCAGCCTCTGCTGCCAGGCCAAGGTCTGTGCCAAGCTTGTAAAAGCCGAGCCCTTGGCAGGCCCGTGGGCAGGGGCTTTGTTACCCTTTTATATCCCGAAACAGAGCCTGGGCACTTTCAACTTTGCTTCCATGCTGACACTTTTGGCTGTCACACAGGGAAAAGTTTAGAATAGTTTGATCTCAGATCACAAATCCAAATTTTATTTTTTTTCCATGCTTAAGCGTGGCTGGCTCTGCCCACACTGCTTTGGAGTTCTACCCTCTCTCCTCCTCTGTGGTGTCTCAAGGGAAGAGGAGGCTTTGACATGGGCACAGAGGGGCCACTCTCAAGGTGTGGCCTCTTGTCTCTTAGCCTTGCTTGTATCTTGGTTTGCAAACTTGTTGGTGCTTGGGTTTTGTCACCAGAGTCTGAAATCCTGGTGTTCTTTAACTGCATTTAATTAGAACACCTCCAGGAAAATCTGGGGTGATTTTCATCCAAACCATTTCCACACATCTGTCTCACCTCCCCAACCCCAAAAGTACTTCCCCTGTTCACAGGTACTTTCTAGTAAAGGAATTCATCCAAAGATACTGGAGGTAGGTCATATTTCCAACAACAGGCACAGAGAAAGTGGCAGGAACATGGATCTTCCTCTGATCCCTGCTCTGGTACAGCTAAAGCTTGAATGTGAGTTTCATTCTTTTATTTTCATAAAATCTGAATTCCTACACTAACTTTGGATCAAAAGTTTATTCTCTACACCAGGAAGATGTTTTGGGTTTATTTTTTTTTTATTTGCTACAAACTGCATTGTCTTATTTGGGGAGTATGTTCACAATTGAGAAAGAATTGCCTTTATTAACAAATCAGAAGCTTGTGCTGTCAAAACTGAAATTGTTCCACCTTTTTATGTGCAAATTAGAGCTTCTGTCAAACCTTCAGCCATGGTGCATTTAATTTGTGGAAATATAAAAATATCTGGCTTAATATTCAAACATTCTGCATGAGGAAGGAAATAGGAAATATTTGAAGTGATGCATTGCAGTCAAGACTCTAGAAAAATTAGATTTGAAAGAAATAAAGTTGTGCTTTAGCAAAATTTATTTTCCCTCCTTTTGCCAGAGTTCAGAGCGGTCCTTAGAAATGTTGAAGTTATACAGGTGCCTGAATATCTGGTTGGATCATGGCCTTTGGGAGTGAACCAAGCTAAATCTAAGTGTGTCCAGGGCAGGGGAGCTACATCCGCTGCGTTTTTCCTTAGGAGAGGGTCACAAGATGTTTATTTTTTAATTAATGGCAAAGGTACTGAGAAACTTTTCAGTCAATTCATTAAAGTTGGGGTTAAACAAAAAACAACAAAAAACCAAAACAAAACAAAAAAAACCCAAAAACAAACAAACAAAACCCAAGTATTGGTTCCAGGGTGGTAACTTGTGTTTTGGAAGGTATTTGTAGAGAGGGTAAAATTCTGATTATCTGAAGCTGGGCCCTGGTTCTGTGTTTAGGTTTCTAAATAAAGAGCTGTGTGCCCAGCAAGGTGAGGCACTGATGGACTGAACCTGAGCTCCTTCCAGCACAGACAGTTTGGGTTTGAGCCTGAGGCAGCCCACACTCCCCCTGAGCCTGGAGCTGCTGCTCTCCTCCTGCTCTCTGCAGCAGCTCATCCTGCTGTGGGCCTGGTTCTGTTGGGGGACAAGGAAAACCCTGCAGAAGCACCTGCAGAAACCCTTTCCAGTGTGCTCAGTGTCTTTAGCTGCATTTTGGCTGGTTAGGGTTTTTCCCAGCACCCCAGCACGCTAGTTCATGTTGAATTCCCAGCTCTCCTGTGACCCAGGAGCATTTCCATGGCTCTTTGAGAGGAGGGCCCTGTCCAGGCAGGCTGTGTTTGCCCATTTTCCAGTCACATAAGAGAATATCTCATCCTGTTTTGGGGAAATTTTAATAGAGTCTCTTTCACCTCATTATTTCCAAGGCCTGAACCAGGAACTTTTGCTCTTCTGCAGAGCTGAGAGGAGAGGAAGTTTCTGTTCCTTGAGGAGCAGCTTCAGTTCCTGAAGTGCCAGTGCCCTTGTCCCCCAGGAAAGGCCACTGGAGCAGTGCATTAGTGATGCCTGTGGCCAGGCTGGGATGTGCCCATGGAACCCCAGGGTTGTTTCCAGCCACTGGCTCCAGCAGAAGAGCCCTTCCCACCACACTAGCAGGGTCACAACCACTCACATCTGTGCAGAAAGTGCAGAAAATATCCCATCAACTGCTGTCAGCTCTCAGAAGTTCCATTTGGGGTGAATTATTGTCTGCAGGCATCCGGAACACTTGATCCCCTATAAGTTTAATGCTAATGCTGTCAGCAATGCAGAATTCCAGCATCCAGGGTTTTACATTTAGTCCTTCTGGCTCATCTCTCCAAGGGGGCTCCTACAGGCTGAACGTGCAGTGCTCTGCATGTGAAGGTGTTTATTAGCCCATTACCCATAATTAATGGCAAGGCAGCTACTGAGGCTGGGGCTGTCCCAGGCAAAGCCTGCGTGTTCTCTTTTCATACCCATGCCCCAGCATGAATTATATCATGTTCATATTCAGCCTCTCACCATCAGAGACCAACAAAGGGGTTTGGGTTGGGATCTCCTCTTTCAGGCCATAAACATATGATCCAGCCACCCCATAAAGTAAATTCCTCCAGCTCTCCATGAATTCTCAGGCATAGCTGTGGCATGCAGCAGGGTTTGGGTCTGGTCCCTGCAGCTGCAGAAATCCTGCCCAGCACAGCTGTAAGGCATGGTGTGAAACAGGCACTGGAACTTCACTGGTGAGTTTTGCCTCTGCTGCAGTCACAACTTCCATTATTTTGCTAAAATAGTGGATACTGTGCTGTCCCCCTGCTTCCATGCAGGGATTCAGGGACAAAGCTCTCTGAATGCCACAGTTTGGTGTGGTGGTGGGCTGGGCACCTCTCTGGCAACTCCTCCCCTGCCAGGAGTGCTGCAGCCTCGTGCACTTGATCCTTTAATTGGCCCATGTGCAGGCTGGACAGCTCTCTCTTTATTATTGTTATTATTATGCAATCAGACACTACTTACCTTCAGAATGTGCTGGAGATGCACTCTTTATACAGAAACCATGCACACCCAGACCCATTTTCTCCATGGTGATTGCAGATAATGTGGAAAGCTCTGCTTTGATTCATTAGTAGAGCAAAAGACTTAGTCAGGATTATTTGGTATAATTCACAGCACTTCAAAATGCATATATTTTCATAACACTCTAAATCTACCACTTGGACTGGTAACTCAAGCTTTGCTGTAGTGCTGTCATCTTAAAATTGAGGTAGTGCCATTATTTCACTGCAACAGGCCAACCTGGAAGCTCATTAAGTGTGGGATTTGGGGTGAGTGACCACAGTGCAGTGTTTGTAAAACTGCTCAGAGCTCAGGAGGATCCCTGGCACCTCCAGAGCCCTCAGAGGGAAGGGGAACCAACAAGCTGAAAACTTGTTTTCATACAGAATCACAGAATGCTTTGGGATAGATGGGAACCTTGACAATTGTCCAATTCCAACCCCCCCAAAAAGGCACAACTCAGGGGAAAAAAAAAAATCTAAGGAATTTTGTTTCTTGGGTTGAAAAGTAGAAGCACTGAGTTAATTTTAAGGAGTTCATTTGTTTAGGAGAAAAGTTATCTTTTAATTTTTTTTTTGATAAAATTTTGTGCTGCATATACTCAGTGTTGTTTTCTGACAAGGTGAGTAAGCAAAACTCCTCAGATTAGCATTTCTTATTTCCTTATATCCTTTCCTTTTCTGCCATGTCAGGACCATCCTTGGGCTGCACTGACCTGGCCATGACTTCATCCATGCCAGTTGGATGAGCCTCCAGATTCTTGCCACTTACATTCACACAAACATCCAGCTCCATCCCATGAAAATCTGAGTTTAAGCCCAGCTTTAAAGACAGAGTTTCAAAAACTCTTTCTAACCAATGGTAACCTTTGGCAAATCCTTATATTTTCCAAGTGTGGGTACAGATTTTTTTGTAAAAATGGAGATGGCAATTTCTGTCAGCCATTTACAGTTTTTTTCACCCATCCATTATGTGCACATAGACCTCAGCACCCTCCCAGCAAGACTTGTCCACTGGAGACAGGATTTAAAATATCACTGCTTAAGTGATTAAACTTACCTTACAGTGCTGAGACCACCATGTGGGGGTTTATCCTTTCCTCCTCTCACCACTCATCTCTCTGGGACTTTGCTGGGCACTGTGGGGTATCTGCCCACCTCTGGAAATCAGCCATATAATTTACATATCTGACTTCAGTTGCTTGGTGACCAGGGCTTTTCTTTTAGTACCATGGATTAAAAAGTTCCAACTGTCACCTGAAAATCTTCCTCAGCCCATCCTGGGAAAAGATAACGTGGTCAGACAAGCTGTTCCCTCATTTCCCAGCTTCTCCCACCTCTAAACCTGAGGTCACCCATGTACCTCATTTCCCAACTCAATCCCTCTAATCAGTTACATAGTTTTAAATAATTGTCTGAAAAAATGGACAGAAATTATGAGGATCATTACCAGCTGCCTTCACTGCTGCCATTCCCCCATGTATGTATTTGCTTCTCTGTCTTAACACCTGAAATGTTTGGGAAAAAACTTAAACATGGCCAATGACTGCATTTAATGCAGGAGCTTTGGCACCTCTGGGCTCTGTATTTATAGCTCTGTCATGTTTCTTCCTTGTACTGACCTGGAGAAGAGAATTTTTTTTTTCTTATCTGATGAAAAGGTTGTCTGTCATGATGTGGTTATTGCAGTACAAAATATTGCCTAAAACCTGACCCTGAACAAATTTTTTACAAGGACAGTTTACCCCAGAATTCCAAAGGAGGTGAAATCTTCCTCATGCTCTCCAAAGAGGGAAGCTGCTTGAGGTAAATAAAACTGGGGTGAGTCTCAAAATCCATCATGGAGCCTCAATTTTAAATGCAGTGTCTGATCCTGGCCGAAGCCACTCTGCTCTTGGTGTTACTCCACTGTACTTGGAGTTTAACATGGATTAATGTGGATTTTCATTGATGGGTGAGTCAGAAATTTAAAAATTACATGTAATAATCATAGTGTGTGGCTTGAAGAACATCCAAGGTACTTTTAGCCTTATCAAATGACAATTGTTCAATGAGTGTTGCCAACCAAAAAGCATTTCCAAAAGTAGAAGAATTTCTAACTAATTAGGACCTTCACAAATTTCCCATCCCCTTCCATTCATGTAGTCCATGAACAGACTGTGATTTTTCTTTTTTTTTTCTTTTTTTTTTTTTTTTTATTAGACATAATTATTCCCAAAGTCTTTTGTGTAGGGAGGAAAACTTTTCCTGCCTCTGAGACGTGGTACTTGTGAGGCAGACAAGAGATGCTGTGCTCACAGACTGATTACATGAGGCTGGTTCTTTTCCCTGGATGAATGGACGTGATTTAGGGAAGTTTCTCCACTTGTGTTGTTTGTTCAGAACTTCTCTCTGCAAATATTTTAAGTGTTCTGGTTCACTCACTGTTAAAATGGCTGGAGGTAGCAAATACAACCCCTGGCTCACTGAAATGCACAGGATATATTTCATATGGCAGTGCAGGACTTTATTCTCCCAAAATGCAGAATCCTTAGTTAAGGGCTCAACCATAAAATATTTACTCACTCTGCTGAGTCCCTCATCTGCCTCTGCTTGTGGGCCCTTTATGAGCAGTTCCTGAGCTCCTCCCCAGCACTGTAGACAGGAACCTTCACTCTGGTAACTTTTTAAGAGCAGCAATAAAAAAAATGAACATAAAGAACGGCTGTCCTTTTAAAGTGGAGTGCCCCCAGTCCTCTGGCCGAAGGGAGGCTGGGTGGTTGGTTTTTCAGGGAGACACAAAGCCAAGAGGGCTCTGTTTTCACATGCTAATGAAGCCCAAGGTGACGGGAATTTGGCAGAGCCCGATCCCAGCAGCTGCGGGCCAGGATGGAACTGGCCAGGGCATTACACTGAACACAAATATACAGCCTGCTCCTAGAACTTCATCAGAAATGAATCCAGTGCCAAATGCCCTCACCATAGCCCAGGATTTTGGCAAAGTGCTTTTCAGATAAAGTGATAAATATTTTGGTAATTTAAGAGCTCAGTGTCCAGAGGCTGGAGCATTTGCCTTCTTTCCAGGAATACTCTGGAAGTGCTCAGTGCCCATGGGGTAAGCTTCCAGAATGAATCATCAGTAAAGGGCACCCTCATCCAGAGGAGATGCATTTCAGAGCACTTGTACAGTGCATCATTGGGGATCATCTTCAAATTTTACCAGTGCTTCAGAAAAGAAAAATAAGAAAAATGATCCGAGCAAATTATAAATTTTTAAAGGAAATTTTTGAAGTTCAGCTCTTGTGCGCCAACCTCACCCCCCTGAGGCACAAACACAACTGCCCCGCATCCAAGTCAGTGGGGCTGCTCTGAATCCCAGTCTGGGGATGCTCTGACCATTCATGTGCCACAGGAGTGAGGGCTCTGTCCCAGCAGTGCCACTCACTGCACTGGGCACAGGAAGATGTGCCCACAAACAGCTCCTGCAAAGTAAAACCAAGCAGAAAGACCAACCTCTGCCAGACCAGGTGATTTATTTACCTTCAGGTGAAGCCCAGCTGCTCTTTGCCACTTCTTTCTGGACAAGAATTCAGCTCTGCATTCTAACAGAAAACACTAGAAATAAAACATTTTCAGGTGAGAGGAGAAATTTCAGGTTCTTTAATATTACAGTGAAATCAGCAAGTAAACAAAGACAGGGTGTGCTATTCAGTCACCTCCCTTTCCTTTTTTTCCCCCCAGAAAGCCATTTCCAGCTGGATTTTCCCCAAGATGTTAATATTGTGCTGGGTTTAATGCTGGCTGAAGCAAGGTAGCCAGTGGTTATTGCAGGCCTGACATGCCTGCTCTGCCAGGGAACAGCGTGAGCTTTCAACTCAGAAAACAAGGTGAACTTTGTTGGGTCATCAATCTGCTTTTGCCTGCCTTGGCCAGGTATGTGCTCACAACGAGGATGACTTTAATTCAGGATCAGTTTATTTGTACTTTCCTTAGTCATGGCCTGAGTGGTAAGGGTGGAAAGTGTTCAACCCCAAGGTTTTGGGTTTTTTTCTGGAAAACAAGTTCTTCTTTTGAAGAACTGGTCTGAAGTTTGTAGTGGTAGCTTATGTAGGCAGTTTGCTCACAGAGCTGATGTTCCTGATTGTGAAGCATAGAAGCTGAAACATTTTAAACAGAGCCAGGCAAAGGCAATCTTTCCATTTTCTGCTTCCTAGAGTGCACTTACGAAGGAGAATCACTCCTTAGTCGTTCCTCTTCAGCATGAATTCCTGTTCCATCTCCTTCATTCCTCAGATCTAGTCCTCAGATCAGAGGCAGGAATACAGCTCTGTGTCTCTGTAATGTGACACAGAACCAGCACTGAAAATGGGCTTTAAATGGTGCCACTATGTTGATTTAATTGGATTTTGCCTGAGAAATAATATGCAAGTTAAATCATTACTCACAAAGGTGTGCACCGTACTTAAAAAATATACCTTTAGTGCTCAGGGTCCAAACATTCCTGTTTTCTGTTTCAAGTACTTCATCTGCTCCATTTCCCCTTGGTTTTCTTTCTTTAAGCCTGATGCTGCTCCTAGGACATGTGTGCTTGTATTTGTGTGCATGTGTAGGCCCGTGATTGTTTCTACTGCTAAAGCTGGCAACGTAGCTACTGTTTTCCAAGCTCAGTTACTATTTTGGCAAACCATGGGTATTTGGGGATATGAAAACTGCTCAGCCGCCTTAAGGAAAAAAATTCCATAGGTTTTTCTTTCCATACTTTCCAGTTTTCCACTCATCAGTTGCAGGCTCGTGTTGAAAAATGTGTTTCAGTGTCAGAACTTCTGAAGAGCAAACCCCAGCGGTGGGGAGCAAGTTCACCCTCTCTGAGCAGCACTGGCTGCTGTAAGGGAATAAATAACAAATAACACAAGCAGATGAATATTAACTAATACCAAAGCACACCTACCCCTCTGAATTGCTTTCTCTGTTCACATTCTTGCCATTTGAGCAGCAGGGCAGCACCAGCTCTCCTCACATATTGCAGCCTGAGAAAACAGCTCCAAAGGGCCAAAAGAAGCAAATAAAATGTATTTGTTATTATGGCTGACCTTAGGCAGGCAGTATGTGGAGCTGCGGGAATCATTCACGGAATCTCTGATTATAAGTATGGTGATAACTGGTAAGACTGTGCTGAACTACTGTGAAACAATTCAGGTAGTCAGCAAACAGGGCTAATTGCTAGTTTGGGGGAGATTATGGGTAATTTACTGCCCACTGAGGGCTTCTACCTAAAAATAAGCTTTCCCCCCCCCCCCCCCCTTTGGACAGCACTTGCATGTTAATGTAGAATTCCTGATGCAATTACATGTGAAGAGGACATTCAGATGCACTTCCATAAATGCCCTTCTGCTTCTCAATTACATTAACTGTCTTTGTAGATCCTTTGATAGAAACCATATTCTTCACTTTTTTTTAAATAGCGAACAGGCGCTGAGCTAGACTTTGCCGCTATCCAAGATGTCCCGATCAAAGGGCTCAGGGTAACACAGTAAACACAAGGAAAGAAACTCCTGGTGCTTTCCAACACAAACTAACGGGGAAGTGTCAAGCGAGCAGCTACTGACAATTCCAGCCCCGAAACCAAATGTTCCTGTGTGAAACTCCACCTTTGAGAAGGAAGAACAAACGCCCACAGAGTGTTTTGGCTATAATTACTTCATTTAAGGCGAAAAAGAAAAAAGTGCCGGATTCGGTTTGCTAAAGTCAAGACATTAATATTTTTGGCATGTAAAGATGTAAACCAAATGTTTAAATGAAATGTCATCCCCTGGGTTCACATTTGCCCACTGAACTATGGTGCACACCCTCCACAGACCTTCATACCATACACATTTTTCAGTTCATTGAAGAAGGCCCCTGCTGCTTCTCAAGGAAAACTAACTTGCAGAAGCAAAATAAATACTGGCGTGGCACTGCAGCAGCGGAGCCTCGGAGCACAGATGTGCAGCACTGCCGGCTTTTCCATCAGATAAGGAGCATCCAGACATAATCACTCCAGTGTCTGGGACACGGCGCACGCTGCGGCGCTGCCCAAGTATGGCCTGACAGACACACGCAGGGAGTGCTGGGGCTGGGAGGCAGGGAGCTGACAGCGCTGCAGAGCAGGCCTGTTATGTCTATAGCCAAATGTTTGTGTAATTTAGCCTGGGCTTTGAAATAGCCTCAGAAATCGGGGCACAAATGGAGCTTTGTGAGGAGCTGTCAGGGATGTACCTGCTGCAGCCTGGGGCTGGCACACCGGGAAGCTTCCGTCGGTCTCCATCCAACCAGCGGGGCTGCTACAGGGCTGCTCCTGGAGAAAAGCTTTATATATATATATTTATATACACATGTGAAGGCCAGCAAGATGGTTAGAGGGGTGGAGCACCCCTATGAGGAAAGGCTGAGAGAACTGGGGTTGTCCAGCCTGGAAAAGAGAAGGCTCTGGAGTCACCTAATTGTGGCCTTCCAGTACCTGAAGGGAGCCTGCAATGGAACACGGACAGAGACAATTTCCAAGGGCCTGGTGTGACAGGACAAAGGGGAATGGCTCCAAATGGAGAGGAGGTTTAAACTGGCTATTAAGAAAAAAAATCTCTGTGAGGGTGAGCAGGGCCTGGCACAGTTTAGAAGCTGTGGCTGCCCCATCCCTGAAGTGTCCAGGTTGGACAGGGCTTGGAGCAGCCTGGGACAGTGGAAGGTGTCCCTGCCCAGGCTTGAGATGAGCTTTAAGGTCCCTTCCAACCCAAACCATTGTCTGATTCTGTGATATAAATGTATATTTATATCTATATATGCACACACAGAGAGATATACATACAGATATATACACACACATGCACACACACATATATTATATATATTTGGCCTCATGTTTAATTGTGGGCCCTGGCCCTAACTGCACTGTGGCATGCAAAGGGTTACTCCTGGCTGCTTTCAGGTAAGACACCTCTAAAAAAGCAAAAAAAAAGGGTAAATGTAACCCTACAGAAATACAGCTCCCAGGGCCTGTGGTAGTTCCTATTAAGATATACAAAGTATCTCAGCAAGGGAAAATTTAACTTACATACAACACATGATTTTAAGTAAAGAAATATTGATGGAGTGGGGGGGGGACGGACAAGTATTTTTTTAGCTCTAATTTATGGCTGAGCAGCTTCATTTTAGGTACTTCATGGGAATATTTTAAACCAAGCCTGCATAATATTAAAATAAGTTAAAATGTATGTAAAATTTATGAGAGCATGTCAGGTGCAATGCTTGATAAAGTAAGTTTAATGCTTCAGAATTTTTTTCTTCAGGCAGAGAAAGCTGAATCCTGCAATTCTAGGTTACAGTATAATTTTAGAAACTCTTTTCCATTATACCATTCTTTTATTAATGAGATCCAACCCAATTTAACAAAAAGAGGTAAATTCCTAAAGAGTTTGTGGAAAGTCCTCAGCAGGTTGGAAGCTGGGAGTGTGTGATAAAAGGGGGTATTCTCCTGTTCATGGGATCTATTCCATTTTACAAAAACACAGAGGAAATCAGTTCCCAACAAACTTTCCAAGGGTGCCTCTCCAGTGCGGTTTTCCTCCTGGAAATGCCGCCCGGCTCCGTGAGCAAACAAAAGCTTTGGCAGCTGACAGGGGCTGTACATCACTTAGAAAACTCTTCATTTACTGGGGGTGTGTCATATTGCCTCATTGTGTGACACTCCCAATTATCGTGACAGAGCTCAGTGACAAAGTACTGTCACCCCACTGCAGATCCAGAGCAGCTTCTTCCCATTTTTCTGCCTGGTCATGGGAACGTCGCTGAGCCCGTACAAAGGAGCGGCAGGAGCTGCAAACGGGCTGCAATGGCTGCAAACTGCTCTGCTCTATTAAAAATTCAGCTCCTCGGCAATATTAAATCTGAATTTACTTCCATCAAACAGAAACTTAGCATATCTCATTCTTCCATTATAAAATATTGACATCAGGAAGAGTGAATCCTGAAATGAAGATTATAGATGAAAACTATGTGCTTGGTAATTATCATTTTTTTTCTTTGTTATTATTCCTTTCCTCTGAGGATTGCACAGGCTGTTGCAAACAGTAATGAAGTTAGCATGCAGTGCCAATGCAAAGTGTGCTGCAAAGTTATTCCTTCCCTCATTATGGATGAGGGAGGCGAGACAGGGGGAGGAGGGAGATTTCCCCAGCCCGACCCACACGCGGGCGGGACAGCCCCCACCTCACATCTTAATCAGCATCCCTGCTGAGGAGACCCTCAGTGCCATCTTGTCTCTGTCTCCTTTTGTTCTGCCACTTCCATGGGTTTTTTTAGGTCTGTACTGGAGCTCAGAGCTATTAATATCAATGACACTTTTTTTGTCACAAACCAAGCAGCCGGTTCACAAATCCTTTCACTGCCCCATAATGCTCTCAAATAACCAGAGCACTGGAAAACAGAGTTCCAGGCATGGAAATGTCCAACCCCTCATCCCAACAGCCCTTCTTGAGGCCTGACACCACAGTGGGAAGAGATCAACATGCTGGCCAACCTGCATTTTGGGATAACCCTTTGGTTCCTGCCTGTGGAGACAGCCCATGGCTTCCACCACCAGAGCCACAGCACCACCCCCTGAAATTCCCACCTGGCTGATGAACTTAGTCCCAGTTGGTGCCTCTTTCCAGGGTGACCACGCAGAGAGGTCCCACTTGGTGGGATGGGGTTGTTTGAGGGCCTCCTCACATCCTCTTGAGCCCTGCTGGTGGCCTGCAGATGTTCCTGAGGAGTGTGATGTATCCCAGGTGCAACATCGCATACCGAGTCCATCTCATGTGCTTCCTACCAAAATCAATCCAAGTCAATAAAGTGCCCACCTTCCTCCCAGTGTGCTTGCAGAGGTTCAAAGCAGCACCAGTTACTCTTAAGGTGGACTTGTCAGGTGTCAGATGAGAACAGAGAAGTTGAAGCATTATGTATAGAAACAGATTTATTTAGAGGACTTGAAGAATTTGTTTTGCTATCAACAGGTCTATAAGAAGTGCTTGTATAGTAGAGTCTAGTAGAAACTGATACCTTGCAAAATGCTAAGGGGATGTTGCTTGGGTCTTTTTTTTTCCACTTTTCTCTTCTTTTGGTACCAGTCAAACACAGAACTGCCCCCCAAAGCACCCCATCTCAAGGCAGCCATGGCAGTAAAGTTCCTGACCTTGAAGGGCATTTGGTCCCAGCCCTTCTTGCAAAACACATCCCCTTTCTGGTTCCCATCTCTCCAGGCTTCATTTATATATAATATATAAATATCTTTGCCATGCACTCAGTTTTTTGTGTTTGGTTCCAAAACTGAGAACCCTGCCAGTCTCCAAGTCTAAATCTTATGTGAACCTCTCTGTCCCTGCCAAGCCCAGAGCATACAAATATCACAGCACATTATAATCACACAAGATGTTCCCAAGTTTAACAGTTCTCATCCCAGAATACCAAACCCTTCTCCTAGCATTCCCAACAAATCAATATGCATTATTATTACATGCTCAGATACTACATCAGATTTCTGCTCATGCCAAAATTTCAGCTAGCTGTTCCCTGGAGTATTTATGCTTGTGTACTGTATTTAACAACAGCCCATTCAAAATGCTCACAGCTCCTAGGAATGAAATGCACATAATTTAGGAATAGCTGTCTGGCTATTCAGGCATCATGCTGTGTCAAGGGAAAATTAAATCTCTGACTCTCCCCCTCTTCTAAAACAAACCTGTACTTTGCATCATATTTTGGGGAGCTGCACGGAAGTTTCATAAAGACCAAGTGGCCTTGACGCTTTTTTCCCTGTTTAATGGCAGTGCCTCCCCATTAATGCTCCAAAATGATACAGTAGTTTGAAAAAAAAGCTCTCAGCATGCAGGCATTGTATCACATTAAGAAATCAGGATTTTCTAGGCACTGCACAGCATTAATTACACTGAGCATGCTGCAAATTTAAATTAAATGATATGCCATGTTCTGTTGTAAATATCGAAATGGATTGCAAGATAGAACCCCATATTGGCATTTGTGCACTGAATAGGATCAGAAAACCACTATGATATGTAATTTCTTTTTATTTTAAGCATATGTGATGCAAATGTGGCTTTTATTTTCGGGAGTACCTAAGAGCACACACATGTACAGGTTAGAACTTGTCTGTCCTGAAAAAAAAACCCCTAAACAAGCCCTCTCTTAATAATAACAACAACGATAAAAGAACAACAACAAAAAAAAAGCCCTCTTTGCCTTCATTTCCTTTCCAACATAAAAGAATAAATTATGCTTCTCTTTCCCTCCAACAAGTATTTACAATGTAGGGAATGGAGTGCACTGAGAGGAAAATGGGGAATACGTGGGGCTGCAGCAGGTCAGCAGGAGCAGGAGGATCTGATTTTGCCATGTGGGTTGGAGTACCAGGATCCCATAAAAATAAATAAATGCTGAGGGGGTTCAACTCACTCAAGTAGGGAAGGGCTGCTCTTCCAGCTGGAATTTCAGTCAGGAGCAGAGGGAAAGGTGAGCTGGGGCTGCCTCGACTCTGTGGTGATGGGGGAAGCCTGATTTGGTGATGCCATGGGAAGAAGTGTCTGAAGAGAATATAAACAATAAACAAAAGCTCTGTCAGTATTTCTATTTTTCTTGGCATTGGTATTTTACAGTTCTATACTATCAAGTTGAATGGTCACAATCTCAGCAGCCTCTGCCCTTAACAATTGGATGAGAAGTATTTCTGGTGTAATTTCACATATTTCTATGTGACTAAATACTAGACAAATATTTTATAACTTTGCACATCAGGGAAAGGGTGGCATTTAGTTAACTCTATAGAAAAAGTCTTTAAAAAAATCTGTATTTTGGGGGGCTTATTTAAGGCCTTGATGAAATGATGTTCACTTAGCTGAGACCCACAGGTGAGTGCCAGTCTGAACTGGCACAAGGGAACAAGGCATGAAGGAGACACAGCAAGAACATGTGGACAGGGACTTGCAGAGTCACTGACTTTTTTTTTAACCCAGCATCACCACATTCTTTCTAAATTATCTTCTCTGTGTCTTTTGTTCCTAGGCCTTGCCTTCCTGTCCCATTTTGCAGCAGTCCTGTGTGTGGGAGAAGTACAGCTGTGGGATGCCTGATGAACAGAGGTGCTTGAACAACTGGCCTTCAGCTCTGTCACCTTTTTTTGGTGCTTGCAAAAAAACCAAAATGAAACAAAGCAAAACCAACCACACACACAAAAAAAGATAAAAAAATCCAAGCCAAAGATAGTTTATGTACAGCTCAGGAAGCTCTCAGCAATGAGTGTGTCTGTGATTTAATAACACACCTACCCAAAATGACACCTCTTCTACTACTCACTGAGAAAAAGAAGGCAAAGCTGCACACAGGGCACTGCTGTTGCAGCAACAAGCAGCCAAACTACCAGGTATTTATTTTTCAATGTACACAATTATTGGGGGAGAATAAAAATTATTCTTTGACACTCTGAGAGAGCCGTAAAAAGCCCTGTGCTTCCCCTACTCCCATGGTCCTGGCAAGAGCCACCTCACAAATTCTAATAAATAGAGAATAGAAATAAATACTTTAACTACACAGCATCGGGTTTCAAATGGCTTCCTGAATCAGAAAGTGCTGCTAGTCCATCTTCCTTATTTCCACACTCTGTAATGGTGGCTCTCCAAAAGTCAAAGTGAGATGGATACTACAAGGATCACAGACACTACACTGGGAAACCAAGTATCAGTGGCTACATCCAGATTTATGGTAGGTGATGGCAGTAAAGTGAAAGTAAAACTGTTTGCACAGTCTGTATTGTTGGCCATTACTGTGTATTTGCCCTTTTTTCTTGCTTAGCTGCAGCTGGAAGAATGGAAAATTGTACCTTCTCTACAGTATTAGAAGACACTTTCTGATCGTAAGGTCAATCAGACTGGTTTAGCTGCTTGAGGTATTTATGGCACCATCACTCAGTGTCTTTAAGGAAAGGTTAGATACATTTATGGGAAAGGTATTTTGCAGAAGCTTTCCTGCTTCATAGAGGTCTTGGACAAAATGACCCAGGAGGCCCCTTCCAAGTCTATCAAATGTGGTTCCCTGATTGATGCTGTTTCCCCCCAAAGTCTTTTCAAAACACAAAGCACTGTTATAAAATTTAATATGATACACTATATAACTTTAACACAATGCCATTTTCTTATAGGAAATGGTTAGCTGGTAGCACAGGAGCCTCGTGCAACAGGAAAAAAAGGTAGAAAAAAGAAATTGCAGTGCAGCTTCTCTGCTGAGGGATATCGACTGTAACATTTACCCTGTGTCTGAGCGTGGACTCTCAGCTGTGCAGGGGGACACCAAGCCAGGGAAGGGTATAAGGAACCCAGGCTTATTTATTTCTCCAGAAAAACCTGACAAGGCCTGAGGTAATTTTCTGTGCTGTGCAATAATCATTCCCTCAATGCTGGGGAGCAAATGGACACCCAGCTCTCCTTGTAAATCACTGCCTGGTGCTGCACTGGCTGGGCAGAGGCAGAGCTGCCTGGGGAGCAGGAGAGGAGCTGGAGGCACAGGGCTGGAGCTCAGGTGTGTCCTGCACCTCTGAGAACACCCCTCAAGGAGAAGAGCTGAGCTCTGTAACTCAGCACTCTGTGCCATGACCCTGGCCTGGCCTGCTGCCACCCCTGCTGCACCACGGAGCAGGGGAGTGAATCCCTGAAAACTGGGAGTGCCAAAACTGCACTTCTAAAAAAGGGCAGCAGCACCCCTGGTAACGTGTTTGTCTGCTGAGTAAAGACTCAGCAAGAGAGCTTGGGCCACATTTCCCCTGTCTGAATACAAGATTGTTTGTCAGGCAGAATGCTCTCCAGGTCTTCTATGTTTCCACCAAACCATTCAGTAAAATGATAATATTCCTCTCCCTACTATATTTCCCTTTTTTTTTGTTTTTGTTTTAATTTTCTGAATGTTTCCTAAATTGGCTTTTTTTTTCCTTAACCATTAACATATTTAAAAATTAAAGTCATGTGATGATTTTAAAAAAAACAACAAGAAAAACCCAACCAGATTCTCTGGGCCATCTGGTTGAAATGCTCTGGTCAGCCTCCACTGCTCTGTAGTAAGTTTTAATTTTAGATTTTCACAGGGGGAAAAAAAAGAAAGAAAAAAATACCCAGAATTTTATTGAATTGGAGTTTACTTTCAAAATAATTTTACACTAACCTTTTTATTTTCACTCCAACTGATTTAGTTAAAGGCCAAACTCTTCTTCTAAAAATCAGCTCCCAGCCCCCATCTTCTTGGGATAGCCCTGACAGGAAATAACAACATCCATACACAGACACTCTGAAGCCTTTTGAAGTCTCACAAATGTGAGCTGTTCCCTTTTGCAGAGCAGGCTGGGATTAACTCTTTTATTAACCTTATAACCTCATCCATGAGAAAAAAAATTAGCCAATCCCTTTTATTTTATTTCTTTTAAAATCTGGATGCATGCTGCCTTCTCTACCCAAACATTTGTGAGCTCACCCTACAGACAGGAGCAAAAGAGCCCTTGGAAAGCCCCCTCTCCCTGAGGAGCTCCCCAAAGCCCCCATTGGGCCCTCCCATTATGTTGCACTCAGTGTCAAATTTTGTGTTTTCACTGGAAAATATTTTCGCTTTACAGGAGGGTTGTGTCTCTGTGTATTGGTGGGAGCAAATAACAACCTTTTGGTCCTTTTCAACACATTGCATCAATGTATTTTCCTGATTCTCATGTCAAAAAAAGCATCTTTTAGCAGAATGAAAAATCTGACCTGGGTGTAATCCTGACAGTGCTCCAATTGCTCATCCTTAGCTTCATCCCTGCACTGCAGTGCAGAGAAAGAGGCTCACATTGGAATAGCTCTTCTCACCAGTGTCAAATGGTAAAAATTTGCTCAGAGAGTGACATGAGCAGGAATTTCAAAGGCGGGAAAATTTATCTCCTGCTCTTTGTCTTACTCTATGGTGCACTGTGGTGGTTGGAAGATTTAAGTTCCAAGCATCCCATCTATATAAATCCTAGTGGAAAACAACTCCCCAGATTCTTTTTTTTAGGGTGTTGAGCTCAGCAGCTGGAATCTGCCAGGGAATGATAGCCAAGATAAGGATGGAGAAAAACTTTCTGTGGCCTTCAGGTGTTGGTCAAGGGTCAGGATTAGGGAACAGCCAAAGCCAAACAGAGCTCTGTGTGTCACACAAGGTCACAGCTCTTTAGTTTGGGGTTTGGGCCAGTCCTGCCCCTGCCCTGCTCGGCTCAGCCCATTTACTGCTCTGGTGATACAGCCCCTCCTGGGCTTTCTGCTTTTCAAAGGTTTACACTCGCTTTAAATCTCAATCAAAAGCTCCACTTTAGCTTTTAGGAGACCAAGACACTTACAAATCTCCGGTGGGAAGGGCAAGTGAGGAAGGCAGAGTGCCTCTCCCTTGCAAAGGCATTCAGACACCACTTGGATGAGGAGTTCCCAGCTGCTTTGCTGGATAAACAGACACAGCACAGTTCTAATGTGCAGGGGTGCCCTTCACACCAACAGGCAGAGAAAAGAGGCAATGGGAAGAGTAAGAGGCACCACAATAAAAAAAGGCAGGAGTTCCAACTGAAATTTTACCCTCTTTGATTTTTGAAAATGGGAAAACCCATTCGGGATCAGGGATTTCCAGACTGGGCTGTATGCACCATTAATTGTTCCATGAAGCAGAGCTGGTCTGCTATTGTTGCATCCTCCAAAAACAGCTGTTACTATGAGCTCTGTGGGACTCAGGAACTCCATTTCCCAGTTTTCACTTAGTACTTCAGTGATCATACATAAATAATAGTAATGATAAAAATAACAATACCTGGCTTGCCATTATGTTGTACGCGGTCTTTGTGATACTCTCTCACGATAAAATCTGGGTATTAAACACTTTAACTGAAACTCTTAATAAAACAGAGATATTTTTACTTGTGCTGTTATATTCACATTGTGATCACAAAGCACTTTACAGAATCAAATGGAAGTAGCCAGTCTGATCCTTGTATAGAGGATTTTGTGCATCTCAGCAGTGTGTAACAAAGCTGCTGTACAGGCAAGTAGCTGTCAAACATACCATGTTTTGGGGTTTCTTCTGGCTGAGCAGCATCCAAAAGCTTGGGGTTTGTGCTTCAGGTTGGCATCAAAATCTGTAAAGCCACCACAAATTGCACAACAAGAGGGAATGTATGGTCTCAACAACTAGACAAGAACAGGCTGTGGTGTCTCATTATCAAGGTCCCTGGGTCTCAAAGGAAAAAGAAAAAAGGTTATAATTTTCCAGGTTTAGGAGAAAAGCCACGGAAGTCTTGGAGCTGAGCAGTGAGCAGCCTCCATGGGGTCACTGCAAGGGGACAAGGCAAATGCTCATGGTAAATGGTGCCTTCTGAGGTGTGAGAGGGTCTCCAGCTTTGGGCCCTGTACCAGGTACTTCTGGAGCTGTGAGACAGTGAGGGGCTTTGTTCCCTCCTGTATAATTGATAAATTACCATTGTTAGCACTAAACAATACAAGTGAGCACAGAATGGAAACACGCTAATGCTTTATCCAGCTCCAGCAATTCTGCTCCTGTGCTCACACTGTTCTTAAATGTGCTAGGTATTTGTTTGATGAAACAATAAGTTTTAGAAAAGAGAAAAATAAGAACTTCAAAGATAATAAAAACCTTGGCTACATACTTTACCACAGGCAGCTGTGAATAAGCTTCAGTACTCTTTATTTTTAACATTCCAGATATGTAATTTAATGCAGGTCTAATGACAATCTCGAACATGCTGCTTTAATCGAAATTGTTCAAGCTCTGTTCTGTGACAAGGGCTCACAAGATACCAGCAGGGTTGTCCATTTTCCCCACTTGTGTAGGGAAAAGAAAAAGGAGGGGAGGGGGACACTCTTGAACTTATGTTGCTATTGATGTGTAATATACAATAAAAAAACAGTTAAATTTCAATTACCCACAGGTAATTATAATTTTATTGTTTGACTGTACTATGGGGAATTTTGTAATTCCCAAGACTAATAATTTTCTATAATTTTACAGGTTGTCAAATAAACTATTAAAGATTATCTTTGAAAAGGATTCTGCAATTGTAAGGACATATCATACTGTTCCTGTACATTATTAGTAATTAGAGATCCCTGGATAGTGAAATATCCACACTATATGCTAGCTGCTGGATACCATATTTTCTCACAGCCTCCTGTAATCTTGAACCAAAGCTTTCAAACTTCTCAGCCATTGTAGCCTGAGTCACGTCCAAACTTTTATTAATATTCACTGAGCACTCATTAAGCAATTCTGGTGTGTTCCATCCATTAAACCTGTGCTTCCTGACAGGGAAAAGCAAAGGCTCCCAGGTCCACCCCAGAGCACTGGAAACAAACACAAAAGGACTCATTCTGAACTCTGTGCCCTGAAGAGGAGATAGGGAAGAAGCAAAGTTTGTACCAGCACAGAAGATGTGACTCTGCCCTGACAGTGCCTTCTGACAATGAGTGGCTTGCACAAGATGGATTTTGCTTCCTGATTTTATCCTAAAAACATGCATAGATGCAGATATGGTGGGGGTCAGCATTGCATGTCCACGAGGAAGGGAATGGCAGGGGCAAGGTCTCCAGCCCACAAGAAGCAAATGAACTGGGGGTATGCCCTCATGCTCATCAGCAAGTCCCCCAGATTTACTGGGCTGTTGGTGAGGAACTCCCCAGGCCAGTAGATACCGACATCTGCCCAGCTGAGCAGGCAGCAGCACCTTCCCCAGGTAATCTGGGAGAAGCCGGAGGCACTAGAGCAGCATGTGCTGGGTGACAGCATCCCTTACCTGCACAGCGCTTGGTGAGATCCTCCCAGCCTTGCAGGGCTGCAGTGCTGAGGAGGAGCGAGGAGGGATGAGCTGAGAGGAAGAGCAGCCCCTGAAGCGTTGCAGGAGCAGCTGGCACAGCCTGTGAGGGCAGCGAGCTGGGGTTCAGCAGCTGAGAGATGGCTGAGCTCTCGCCTGCAGAGCCATCAAAGGCACCATTCTTGGCTGGCAGCATTGTTTATTGCAGCTGCCCCAGGAGATCATCATTATTTGTTTGATCAGCCTCTCAGATGGCTGTGGGTGAGGGCTCTGTGCAGGGGGGACTTCACTGCCTTAAGAGCAGTCTCAGGACGTGGGGACTCTCAGGCTTCCACCCCAGGGTTTGCACAGCCCCAGACTGTGGGGACACGGAGCAGGAGCAGCCTCTCAGGGCTCTGGGCCCATCTGCAGGGGGGATTTGCCCTGTTCCCGGTGCCAGGAAGCCTCTGTGGCAGCTGCAGCGCTCAGCAAGGGGCCTGGGCAGGGATTTCCCTCCCACCAGGGAGCCCAGGGTGGATTGTGTTGGTTTTACGGCGTGGAGCTGGTGGAGCAGTATAAAGATACGGGAGCACAGGGAAGGATTAAGGCCAATGGACTGCAGCTCCCTGCCTGCCTCCAGAGACAACTTGGAGCCCATCAAAGGTATTAAATCTGAGGAGCCACTGCAGACACACACGCTGAGCTCTTTTCCAAGGCCTGCTCGCCTTGCTGTCCAGAGCTCATGTGGCACCTCTGGGAAGGTGTGGGAAGAAGGAAGAGTTGATAATTTGGAAAGCTCTTCACTCAGTGGCATTCCCTGCTCCTGACCGGCCTCTCTGCCTGCTAACCCAGCTCACTGAGACTGAACCCATTCCTGCAGATGATGGGCACTTACAATAAATAGAGGGAAAATCCAGAGCCCACAGAGAAGGCTCAATATGCTTCTGGGTAACAGACAGCACCATACACACACACAGAGCCCTCCTTCCCCTTAATTCTGGTCTGTGCTTTTCCTGCTTAACACATTCCTTGTTGCAAGGAGAACACGTTCTGACAACTGAAGAGTGAAAGCAATTAGAAACAGAATTAATTGATAAAACTAAAGCCCTGCTTTCCTTATGTTTGTCATATGACTACAAATATTGTCACTCCCATTAATATTAATTAATATAATTATCAATGTTTCTAATCCCTACACATTTTGTTGAAAAGTTACTCTTAGCTCAAGAATATAATTGTTAAGTCGTGGAAATGTTAAGTAGCAGCTAAGTAAGTCCAAAGAATTAATAGCAAACTGTAGTTTATCCAGGGATTAGACTTTTAGCAATACATAATCACCTCTTCATGTGTTCATCCACATAAAATACCTTCCATCCCTTACTACACTTCTGCCTACTTGTCCTTGCAGTGCACAGTTTTCAATAATTAAAAAAAAGACAGAAAGTAAATATTCTGTGCAGTTGCACGCTGTTCTTCAAGGTAAGTCACTGCACCAAGAGTTCTGTGCCCACAGCTGAGAGTAAAGTCAAGGTCAATTATCTCAGGCTGAAAGCCCAAATGCAGGCTACTTCTGTGATCAGAATGATCTGTGTAACACTGCAAAGCCTTTGTTTTGGAGTCAGGCAAAGCAACTCCTCTCTCTCCCAGCTTCCCCACGGATTGTCTATCAGTTGGACTGTCCCAGATTAGTGGAATAATCCAAAACAACCCCAGCCCTGCCCTGCTGCTGCCATGGAGCCGCCTCTCCTGGCGGGCGCTGCAGCAGAGCCTGCCCAGCCCCTGCACCGTTGTTCCTGCACGGACACTCGGCAGCTCCTGCCTGGCACAGCAGGCAGCAGGGCGAGGTGCAGCATTCATCAGCTCTTCTGGAAAACAGCCAAAGTGCTCTAAAGGCCTTTGTTGTAGGGTACAGGGGTGTTTCTGCTAGAAGAGAATAATGTAATCATTTTGCTATTAATTTTTAATTGTATGTTGCTCTGCATTATTACCAGTGTATACTGATTTTCCTGAGAGAAACGGGGATGCTGTGCAAGTAGTTTCTGTTAGGAATGCTGTTGGGCCACGCTGGAAAAGAAGTGACAGAAAAAAGCTGTTCTTCAAAGTTACTGCAGTCACCTGCTGCTGTCTATTCCTACAAGGTATCACATTAAATACTTATAAAATGTATGAGCTCAAGAAGATTCATGGAGAACTGCCACAGTTTTCCCTGTTGTCAGGTGTTTTTCTTTGCTTGTTTTTGTGGAGGTTTTTTTCTTTTTTTTTAATGGCCACCCTTTGTAAGGAAAAGTTACTTCTGAGAAATATTTTGCAAGCAAATTAAACTCACTGATGTGGATGAAATCAGTAGCAAGAGTAAGAAATGCATTAATTCTTCTCAGAAGACAATCTTTATCAAAAATGCTAAGATGCAGCCCACTGATACAGTTAAACTTTCTGGTAGAAACATGATTGTATCACTCACTTGTGCCCACTCACAAATCCTTCATTTCATCTAAGAGAAAACTGGCCATGAGGGGACCGGAAATCTTTAATCTGCTTTTCTCCATTTCTTCAAATATCTGGTTCTTATCAAGCCGCATCGAACACGAGCGACACAAAACCCTCATGTCCTGCACTCCATAAAACAAATGCAAACAAAGCACAGACACGTCGGCAGTGTGAGCAGGATAACAAAGTATTGCATGGCAGCAAGCCTGCAGAGCACTCCTGGAAAGGCAGCTCTGCCTGCACATTCAGGAACAAGAAATCAATTAGACCAAGAAACAAGTTATGCAGAAAAATCTACACTTTGCCACTGACCTAAGTATCAGGAGTAGGGTAAAATCAGCTGTTCCCCCCAATATTTGATTATCCTTTGTAAAGAAAAATCATGGGTTTTTTTTGCTCTTGAATCCCTAATACTAATTATGCATTACAATATAATACTACTTGTATTATACCATATCCTATAATGTATAATCCCTATAATAAATCACACTATGATAAATATTTTAACTATATATTAATGTATTCATAAAATAAACATGTATAAATATATAGTTAGCTTAAATAACCATATACTACTATGTGTTTAAAATAATTTTATAAATTATTTTATTTTTGGGCAGATATTCAAGGTTAGCTGTAATTTTTTGGACAGCTGGGAAATTCTGGTGAGAGTTTGCAAAGTTTGCACCTAATTGAATTAGCTTCAAAACAGAGAAATAGGTGATTTGATAAAGAAGAATTAGACACATTAAATTTTCAGTTAAAAAACACGATTTTCTATCTGGCCAGTTCTAAACTGCAGTTTTAGTCCTGGCATAAGCCCATGATCATCAGTGAAAAATGTGCCTTCATCTTCTCCATATCCAGTGCTGCAGGATCTCCAGGGGTGACTCAGGAAAGCTCTGAAACATTCACAGTAAGTCCAGTAAGCACTTTCCCAAAAAGTGATTCTTTCCTGAGCTGGGGCCAAAATAGGGCAAGTAAAGGGAAAACCAAAAATGCAGACTGTGAAGCAACCTGCCCATAATTTCCATCAAATCAGAGATTAAACCTCTTGCACAGTAGCCTCTTCTAGGGGGACTGCATTCATCATTCCAGGAATTAGTCTAACCAAGGCTTATTATTACTGCAAAACTTAAAATACAGTATGTTATTAATTTGGATTATGCTGTTGCTTCACAGCTTTGGAAAAACAAAACAAAAACTCCTGAATTTGCATTCACCTTTAGTAGCAAGGTTCTGTTCTCTGCCTGTTTGAGATATTTCTTTCCATCTCCTGCACCATCATGTTTCAGTTCCTGAGAGCTGTAGATATTTATTCAGTGCCCTTCTATCTTGGCCATCACAAACAGCTCTCTGATAACAAATCACACTCTCTGAGCATCATTTGCTACCAGAAAGGATCCTCAAGGAGCACACGCTCTGTGACACAGGATATTCCCTGCTTTGCTGTGAATGCCATAAAGAGTTTCACAAAATCAGCCTCCTTGCATTGAGAGGGTAAGAATGCATCATCTCAGTAGTTTTACCACTTCTTATTGCCTGGTTAGGCTTCATGCTTAGTCCCTGCTCCCTGGCTCTTCAAATGAATGCTGCTACTTAAACACAGAGAGCGATATGTGCTTAGTGAGAGACTCAAGGATTTCAGCCATCAATAGAGGTTTAATTATGTGCTGGTGGATGCTCAGGTACTACAACGATGGCTGTTGTATAAATTGCACAAAGCCAGCACAGAAGAGACCACTCACAGCTCATCCTACACTCTGCTCCTGCAATTTAGACAAAATAAAATGTAATGCATGGTATTAACTTGCATCTTCTTCTTGCCTATGTCATAACCCATCATGTAATGTGATGTTATTCCGTGTCGTGTCATGAGTAACATGATGCAACACAATGTCACACTTCAGGAAATATTACTGAGCAAGGGCTGATTCTTGTTAGCAGTTCAGAATGCGAGCCTCTGATCCAAACATATTGTGGCTGTGGCTGATGGGAAGGCATCAAACTGAGAGCTGCGTTGGGCAAATGTTTTTCTTCTCTGGCTTGGCCAGCAGATGTCCATTTGTCAGGTTTGGGTTCAATTGAGATTTCTTTGTCACGAGCACTTTCTCTTGTAAAAGAAATAGCAATTTTATGGCAAGCCAAATACTGAAAAGAAAAGCCCTTAGAAATACATAATAAATGTATATTAGCGAGACAGAAAATTGGAAAATGGCCACCTGCCAGCAGCCACATAAATTTTGGAGGCAATGCATTTTTCTGCCATTATGCATTATCACAGGAATTGCAAATATTTATTAAAAGTATTAAAATGGTGAGAATGTTAAATGTTTCCTTCAGTAGTGGAAATTCACAGTGCCACATAGAAGATAGGATATTCTGATACAATGTTTATTAAAATGACTTCATTTTATTAGGCTGTCGTACACAATAAATGTGCAGGTACAGTTAACAAAAGATCTATTGTGGATATGGGAGATTTGTGAGTAACACTTCAAAAAAATAATCTCTTCTGAACTCTATTCATATAAAAAGCATGCTACAAACTTTCATTAACTTCCTTAGAACCAATTATTTTCTGAGCTTATTTTCTTTTTCTGCCATCCCCCTGTATTTTGTTAGTCAATTTGTTTACTCACGTTTTAATGCTTAACAGGATTAAATGCAGTTTATCTTTAATTTATATACAAGTGAGCTGAGTGTATATGTGGAGCAGGCAACAAAATATGACGATTATTTTGGGGTTCATTTACAGGTCTAAACATGAATGACTGTAATATATTGGCACCTCAGTATCTTTTCATCCATAAGCAAAACAATATTAAAAGATCAGTGGGAGCTCCATAATATTGATTGAGAAGAAAATCACATTCTGGTTTTGCTCACATTTTCTGCTGGGATTAATCACAGTGATTTTGTTTCCAAGGTTTTGTTGCAGCAAGATACAGACTCGGGCACACCCTGACGGGGTCACTTTGCTGGTTGGCTTTGCTGGGCCCTGAGCCCCTTCCAGCAGCCCCCGAGCACTGACGGGGACAGTGGCATAGTCCCTGCAAAAACAGGAATCTGCAGTGAAAGCAAGGAGGGTGGCTCTTGCCTTCACAACTGAAAGTGTCCTCAGAATAGCTTCTAAAAGTCATTTTTTAATGTAAGAAATGAGCAGAGAAATAAGGAACCACTACTGAGAGTTTTTTTCTTACACAAGTGTTCCTCAATTCCTTACAGTCCATTAGGGAAGAGGTGGGATTGGAGTCTATGTTGTAGGCAGGGGGTGAATAGATCAAAGTTACAAGACCTCGGATTTATGGAGAGTCTCATGCAAGGAAAAATCTGCCTCTGGAAGATAAAATTTCAGAAATAAAGGATTTTTCTCTCTGCCTTTATGTGGTGCAGTTTTATTCCTTTCTGACAAACACGGAGTGGTGGTGGGGGGAGTAACTTGCATGCAAAAACCACTTTTTTTGCCTTGATCCAGACAGTTTGTGTGGATTTGTGGAATAACAGAAGTGGTGCATGGGATTTAGCACAAAGGGTGGATGTTGGAGAGAGACCTCGGCCACGCCACGGGCAGAGGCAGAGCCTGTGCTGCCTGCAGAGGGGCAGGTGTGACATCCTGTCAGAGTCAGGAAGCAGGGCTGGCACTGCCTCTGTCCAAGGCATCTGTGGGATTCAGTCCCTGTAAAACGAGGAGTCAGCACTTCAAGCAATGCAAACCCATTTGCTTGGCCAACCTTATTTAATATGAAGCATGTTTTATCTTGATTTAGGTGGTTGTTGTTCTTTAATTAAAGAAATTATGGGAGGTCATTCTCATTAGTTTAGAAGAGTCCTCACAGAAGGGGTTTGCACTGATTTAACCTCAGGGTAAACTGGCACAACTTTTGCATGTAAATAGGATTTAACACTGGACACTTTGTGTGTAATCCAGCTCTTCACTCATGACATTCAAGGAATACTTGGAATACTGACTGAAATAAAAAGATAATGAAGATAAGCTGGGGTCTAACCGTGAAATTTATCAAATGATCTGCGGTGGCAGCCCGGAGCTCTGCAGCGGCGGGGAGGGGACACCACAGGCTTTGTGCTGGGGGCAGCGCAGGCAGCTCTGTCCCTGCACGGTGACACGGAGAGAGACTGGACTCAACTCCCGCTGCTCAGGCTGGCCAGATGGAGCAGGAGCCGAGGGGCACAGAACCGGGCAGCGAGAGGCCAGGGCAAGGTGCTTCCCTTCCCCACGGGCCCAGGCAGCCGTGCCCCGGGGCTGGAGCATGGCACAGGTGCGTGGCAGCAGCGGGGCCACCACTGCCATGGAAAAGATTTGCCATGAAAGGAAAAAAGGGAAAAAGGGAAAAAAGCAGCGGCATGAGAAGTGCCAACTGAATGGCGCTGTCTTTAATTGGTACCACCAAGGGCTTTGTGCGGTCAGCACGCTTTTCATGTTTATAATAGAATCCCCAAATTCGACTGATCTGAAGGGCATCTGACTGTTTTACATTAATCACAAGCTATACAGCAGAGGCTGAGAGCAAGTGGGCAGATACCCTGGTGGAGTAGCACTAAGGAGCTCTCATTATAATCATCCTGCCAAATCAAAAGAAAAACCCTAAGGCTCCTAATAAAGGAGACCACTGGACTAAACAAATTGAACAAGTAGCTAGACATGCATGAGCTTAAAACTAACGGTGTCAATCAGATTTTCCAGGGCTGCTCACTCTGCTCACTCCTCCAGAGCACACACGGAGGGGACACAGGGACAAGGTGACACGAGGGTGCCAGCACAACCCCGTGCTGGGCAGGCAGGTACAGGGACACTCTGTGAAGCCACTGCAAGGAGTCACTATGGAACACTTCTGAACTGATCCAGCACTAAGGAAGGGGGTGGTGAGAATGGGGACCTCATCCACACAGCATATCTGAGCAGGCTTCCAGTCTCACTACTTCCATTGGTTACAGGACAGGAGAGACCAAAGAAAGGTCTTGGAACTCAGAATTTTGTGTGTCTCTAGGGCAGAAAAAAGGTTCAGCACCCTGGAAGCTCTGCCCAGTTCTCACCTTCCTGCACCTGCTGAATGGAGGTCATTATATTAGTTATATTCCCTACTGAAAAGGTGGGTCACTGCTTTCTGAAAAAATGCAGTTGGTACCAGTGAAAAATCCACAAAAATGAGAGAATAAGAAAATTCTAAACTTAGAAGCATTGGGTTTTGTTTGGTGTTTTCTAAGACAAATGATGGGTCGGTTCCACAGGCTACCCCTTCTCAAAAGCCATCAGGCAGGAGAGCAAGATTTTGAGGTCCTCCCTCAAAACTCAAAGAAAAAATAAATCTGTGCACAAGAGTGAATGCCCAGGGAAGAAGAAGAAACAAAAAACATTAGGGTCAGTATTTAGTACAGCAACCAGGGGGAGATGGAAAAAGGGAAAGTTTCAATAGGATGGGGGATGATGCACCTGAGGAATCAGGTGAAGGCATCAAAGGAGAGGTTTTATGGAGAGAAATCCCCTTTGAAGAACTGATGGCTAAAACCCTGTTGGCTTTTGAAGTATTGGGAAATTTTCCCTATCTGCACCATGACTACTGTCACTGGCTCTGTCCCCTGTCACCATCTGAGTGGTGGCAGCTCTGCATGGACCCTGCAATCACCAGGGAGGAGGCAGAACTGGGGCCCCTCTTGCTGGTAGTGTTTTGAGAAATTATTATTATTTATAAATGCAATTTTTTTAGTTCATTTCTCCTTTTCCCATTTTTTTTCTATTGCTTCTCTTTTTTTTTTTTTTTTAAACTCCACACTGTAATAAATCAACATATAAATGCACTGGTTTATTTCCACCTGGAATGCTGGAAGACAAATAGTACAAAAGATCAGTTTGGTCATTTACCATATTGGTTTAGCATGGTAATACTGTTGGGGTTTTTTCATTTCTCATTTCAAGACTGTAAACAAATGCTGCAAGAACAGATCAAATACTCCCTACCTAAGACAGTGCCTTGTGCAATGGAAACATCAAACCTGGTTTTTGAAGGCCAAACTGCGCCTCCTTTACTTTTTCATAGGGAAAACTCAGAATTTTGAATCAGCCTGAAATTTGAAACTACATTTTTGCCAAGCAGCAAAAGCAGATGCACCCTTAGCCACGCTAAATCACAAACACATACACACATGGAGATGAGGAAAATGCACATTAAATATGAAAAAGTATTCCTTTCAGGCAGAAGATAAACAACCCTACTACAAATTAGCTCTCGGCCCCGTCAGGTGTGAATCTCTCTTGTCAATACGTACCAAATTCCCTGAGATAGAACCACATGGTCATGAATTTTATTTCTCTCCTGCTTAATTCCTAGTACCACTCTCCCTTGTGGATTTACTCAAGGATGATTTACAGTGGGAAAGGTGACATTAAACACGTCATTGAGCATGCAAAGATGCTGCACTCAAAGCAGCATATGCTTGACTTTGTTAAAAGATGAATGCTGTCAACTCCACAGTGCCCACCAAGATCTGGCCTCCTTTTTCTTCCCAACAAACTTTGGGGAAGATGCAGACATGAGTCTTGACACTGAGAGAAATAAAAGTTAATGTATTCATGACATGATTTCACTTGCAGCCTGATTTAGCAATGTCTTGTCTAGTTTGGATCTGCTGTTGCTTTTCCTAATTTACTCATTGCACAAAGAAAATAAATAAATAAGTGCACTATAGTCTTATTTATCCTTCTTTGGACATTTCTTTACCAGGCAGATGGTCAATTAAGAGCACTAAACAATGACACTGTTTTCTCTGTAAACATTTTTTTTCTAATAGCCTAACAAATGAGAATCTGTGCTGCCATACTGCTGAATACCATCTTGACTTTCTAATTACAAAGAACTGTGTCTTGATAGTAACAATTACAGCTGTAACAATGATGCTGGTACTTGAACAATATAGTTGGAGGCAAAGTGCTTATCGGAATATTCACAAATAAAGGCTTCCATTTATGCCAGCGCTGGAGATGGGAGGTTAAACAGTTGGGGGTGGGGAGGTGTAGAAGAAAGGTTGAAAACATTGGTTTAGTAGCTACAGATGTGAATTTGAATCCAATTACATGAAAAGCAAGGGGGGGCTGAAGCATGAAAAGATGCTGTTTCCTTCTGTTTGGCTAATCAATAGGTTAAAGGGTTAGTAAAATTAACATGTTAATAACATTCATTTTGCTATTTATGTACCGGTCATAGTATCTGCAGAGAACTGTCTTGTGAGTAATCCACGTGTTTTTATGTCTGTTTTTTTCCCTTTTGCATCTGAAATGCTGAAATGGTCAGTATATTTTTCCCCCAGTACGATAGAAATTAGCTTCTCAAGTCTTTAATTTGCCCTACCTTTCTTATTTAACTTCTCAAATCCAACCCATCCAAGGTTTGGGTGGGTTTTTTCCTTTTTTGAATGCAAAGCTCCCAAACCCCAAAGCAGAGGGGCAATGCAGTCCCTGAGCTCAGCACAGACCCACAGCACCAATGCCCCAGGGGAGCAGGCTGGCACCAGGGTGCCCCAGCAGCATCTCAGAGGGAACGGGTTCCTTGGAGGAAGCTCATCCTGCTGCTGCTTCCTCCACCATTCGTGGTGGCACAGGAGCCCCTGGCCCTGCTCTGTGCCCACGGGCAGGGTGGCGCTCCCTCCCTCGCTGGCGCTCCCACCGCGCTCCAGCCGCTCTCCGAGCCGTAATTTAGCCCACACTTATTAATCAGTGCACATAATTTGTCTCTAATGCTGTCAATTTAAGATGGCAACCTGACTTTTTTTTGGAGGGGGCAGGGTCAACAATTTAATGAATCTCGTCTGCATTTTAATTCAGACCTAATAATCTGCCTCTGGCAGTTTTCTTAGAAAAGCACAAGGTTTTCCAGGATTTTCTTTCATCAAATCCAGCACAATGGGATGTTTACCTTCCTGCCTTGGATATGCTCAGCCCAGGGCAAGTCACACACAGACCTACCTTAATCAAACTAGGACATGGCCTAAATCTCCTGATTTGGCCTTTGAAGGGTTTTCCTGGGGAGGAAGGAGAAATCTGGGGCTGTGCAGTCCCTTTTCTGCACAAATTGGTGCCCAGTTGTAGGCACAAGACCTCAGACATTCCATGATTCACTGCCCCTCATGGAATAACTTCACAAATGGTCAGAGCATCCAAGGCACATCTCCAGAAAAGCTTTCTTTAGCTATCCCCATGATTTCCTATTTGTCCTTCCTACAGTGAAGTCCCACAGGAGGGGAAAAAAGATGCAGAACGGAAAGAGGGTGCAGAAAATTCCATCCTCCTCATCAGGAGGACCAGCATGGATGGGTTTATCTAATTGCAATGGCAGGAGGCTTGCACCCAACGGAGCAGCTCAGCAGCCT